AAATAAGAATAAAATAAGATAAAATCAATGATGTTGTTATTATATTATTATGTTATTTTAGTTTTGATTTTATATTTATTATTTTATTTTTATCTTTTATAATCATCATTCATTTCTTCTTTTTGTCTTTTCCTCTTTTCTAAACATCACTAATTTCTTCTATTTATTTCCATTTCATTCTATTTTCTTTATTCTTGTTGTTATTTTATTTAGTTCATCTTTTATCATTTGTTATTTCTTGTTTATTCTTGTTTGTTGTATATTTTATTATTATTATTTATTTTATGTTGTGTTATTCTTATTTATCTTTCTTATTATGTTTTGTTTATTATTGTTTAAATATAAAATAAGAATAAATAAAGAATAAGAAATAATAACATAAATATGTTGATGTATTTTATCATTTCTTTATTTCTTTATTTCTATTTCTATTATTTCTATTATCTTATTCATTTGATTCATAATGAATTAATTCAATGAAATAATACAAATAATTTATTTATTTTTTTATTTTATTTCTCTTTCATTCTTATTTCTTTTCTTATTTATTAAAAACACTATCATTGGGTGTGAAAATTTCATTAAATGAAATAAAATAAATCAACATTGAATTATGTCAATTTTTAATTCACCATTTCATTCATTGACAGATGAAATGTTCATATTCTTCATTGATTTGTTTTTTATTCTTTTTTAGTTCATTTTCAATTAATCAAGATTGAATCATTTCATTTCAATTACGATGATTCGTTTTGGTGTGAAATAATTATTTGGATATTCTTTTCCACAAAGTGCATTTGATATTCCTTCATATGAAAATGAATGCTGATCACAAGATGATTTTGTTTTATCATTTTCTTTACAAACATGAATATCATCTAAAAATCCAAATTTAAACAACCAATCATGTGATTGATTATATAAACAAAATGCATATTCTGGATGTTCAATATCAAATTTCTTCATTCCTTCAATTCTTCCATTTGATACTAATGAAAATACAAATGATTTTGAATCACTTATCCAAGTACCAACTTTATCAATTTTAGAATTAACATATCCTCCAAATTTATTTCCATCTTCATCTTCAATAATAATTATTATATGTTCTTTATTCATTACTCTTTGATCAAATACTGATGTATTTCTATTCCAATCATCAATATCTGAATCAAATAGTATATTGTTTATTCTTTTTTCTGTCAATTCTTCTATTTGTTTAATATACACCTCTTCCATTTTAATTTGATTTGATATTTATAAGTTCAAAATAATGATGTTTAAATAGTTAATCCACGTTATTAACATCATCATGTCAATTATTATTTTTAGCATTATTCTATTTTTACAAACACTATTTTTATCATTTTTACAATAACAATAATTATATAATAATATTAATAATATAATAATAATAAAATTATAATATTATTATTTTCTATAATTAGCTTATTTTATTTTTAGTATTTTTTCATTTTTTGTTAAAAAAAAACAAAAAAAATTGAAGAGAAGAAAATTCAATTTTGTTTTATTTTTATTATTTCATCGTTTGTGATTTGAATTGTCATGTTTTATCAACATCACTTCTAACAAATTAAATTAATAAAGATAATAAATGATAAATAAAAAATAAGATAATAAAATAAGAATAAGAAATAAAAGAGAAAAGAAATGAAATAATTATTATAAATACATAATGAATAAAAGAAAAGAAAAGAAAATCAAATGATAAAATTATATTAAATAACATAATAAAAGAAATAATCAATATTTCAATTATTAAAATAATTAATATGATAAAATATCAATATTGATAATATTTTTGTTTATTGAAGATGAAATAATAAATAATTTAATCATATTTCATTCTTTTATTTTGATTATTTAACAATATTATCATCATTCATTCTAATTAATAATCCATGAATAAAAATATAATCATTGTCACTAAATAAAAAAATAAGTCATTGTTTAATGGAAATTAAAAATTAGAATAATAAATATATTTCAAAAGTCATGTAAAATTATCTATTCATTTTTATTTAATCATAACATTACAAAATTATTTTTATTTAATGATGTTTGTATTTCAAAGTAATAAACAAAAACAAACTATCATGTTAAATTATCGATAAATTTATTCATTTATTTTTAAATATTTTCTATTTCCTTTTATTTCAAAAATATATTTTTATGTAAAAATTAAATAAAAACAATAATAATGTTTATGTAACATTCGATAAAATATTTTGTTGTTTTTCATTTCAATAAAATATGTTGTAAAGAATATTTAAAAAAATGTAGAATTGTAGTTATTTATTTCAAATGAAAATGAAATGTTTTTTAACAATAAATAAATAACTTCAATTCTTCAAATTGATAAATAAATAATTGACATGTTTAATTATTATTTAAAATGACTATCAACTAACAACAATCAATGAATATTAAATAAATTAAATTACTTATCCTTTGAAATATAAGTGATTGAAAATTACATTTTGTAAATTCAAAATGAAGAAGAATGTTTTAAAAGAAAATAATACCGCAAAATCAGAAACTAAATAAATAAAATGAACATAATGAGAAAGTGATAAATGAGATATATTTATTATTATATCTGTGTTACAAGACACAGCAGAATGAAAAGAATATATACATGAATAAATAGTGTTAATTATACTAAATAAATTAAATTAAGGTTTAATAATTTTTAACCTAATGTTCAGGTGAGAATAATAGTGTTGATTATATTAAAAAAGAATAAAAGAATTTTAAATAATTAATATTGTTTTGAATTTTAACAATGTTTTCATAAAATAATAAAACAATGGATAAAATGATATAGAATGTTTTTTCCAATATTAGACATTTAGAGACATGTTTGTATCGTGTTGATCAAATGTTAATGTTATATCCATAAAGAAGTTCATGAAGAAAAGAAAAAACAAAAGTAGATAAATAATAACAAAAATTAATGGAAATTTTTAATGGAACAACTGGAAAATATTAAATTTCCAATGTAATTTAATGAATCAAAATGTTTATATTGTTATTATAATACAAAAAGATAAAATGGAATTGTAAGGATGATGATAATGATAATATTATTAACATTAATTAATATAGAAGAAGTGCAAAAAGAGATATTGATTATCATAGTATTACTGAAGAAAAAGAACAAAATATTAAACAAGAAAAACATACACAAATAAATAAAAATAAAGAAATTACAAATAAATAAAAGAATGAAATACATAGAAGAAATTAGTTATAATAATCGAGGAGTTGAAAGAACTAAAATTAAATAAATTATTCTTTCTAAAAAAATCAACAAGAAGAAGAAGAACAAGAAATGAAATAAAACAATGAAATAAATAGAAAACAAAATTACCAAAATATTTGTGTTTGTAAAAGAAGAGATTGAATTTATTGAACATGAAGAACTAGAAAATATTTTATCAGTACTATTCATCATAAAGAAGAAACAATTAAAAAGTTAATAAATAAGTATAACGTAAAACATCATTAGAAAGATGATATGATTCTATTTCTACTGTATATTTGATGAAATAATTAAACCCAGTAAATAAAATAAATGAATTTTTATTTAAATTTATTTTGAATAAATTAATATAAAATATGATAACTTATATTGTAAATAAACATTAATTTAAATAAAATGAATAATAAATGAAATAATTAATATATGAAATATGAAAGATAAATAATATTTTATTCAATGAAATATTATTTATTTATCATTCGTTTATTTCATTTTATTTAAACTATATTATTCTCATTATTATTCATTTCATTAATTTATTAATATTTAATATTTATTTATTTGAAAGTACAACAAATAATCATTCTTTCTTATTTATTTATTTGTTATTTCAACAACATCAAACAAAAATATGCATTACAGGAGACACCACAAAAAATATAGAAAAACAAATAACCAAAGAAGAAATTCATATCATCCAAGAAATATAAATGATAGAAGAATGAGTGAAAATAGGTATTATCTGTATAGACAGAAATACATGAATAATCACATTAATCATTACAATAATAATTATAACCATAACTATCACAACATAGTTGATACAAATCATTTCACCCATCACTTCATTCATAATCATCGTCATAAACACTTTAATAATAATAACAACTTCAATAGAAATAAACAATATTATCATAATAGAAATAAATATCATAGTACCACACAAAGAAGGTACAAACATTATCAAAATAAGAAATCAAAGAAAAGAAATGATTAAAATACAAAACCAAGAATATTGGAAAAGACTCTTTGAAGAAGAAATTAAAATACTTACACCACAAGAAATAGAAGAAATTAAAAATACCAAGATTAAAGAATATACATCATCAACAATATGGAGAAGATGGTATTTTCTTGCACGAGAAAAAACAAAACAATCAGAATGGAAGAAGAAATTATTAGTATGACTATGGAAGAAGACAATAATCAGTACAACCCAATTGAGATTAAAGACAATAGAATATACAATAACTATGTAATGAGTATTGAAAATGAAGAAGACGATGACCAAGATTCTACGAGAGAAAAAGAGGCTAGTAGAAGAGGAGAAGCTAGGCTTACTGATGAGAAGAAGAGGTTTACTAAAGGAGAGAAGAAGAGGCTGGTAGAAAAGGAAGAAGAAACCAATGAAAAGAAAAAAAGAGTAGAAGAAATAGAGGAAAAAATAATAGAGGATATGAAAGAGAAAGAAGAAATGAAAAAGAAAAAACTATTGAATTAAATAATAAAAATAAACCAAAAATAATTAATGAAAGAAAAAAACATATTAAATTTATTTATTTGGATGAATAAATGGAAATGTTTCATTATTTTGAGTAAGTAAAGAACTTTCAGAAGAGTCATCATCTTGAATATTCTGAAAATGAGGGAATGGATCATACGATTTACTCTTTGGAATATTCCAAAACAATACAATAAGACAAGTTAATGGAATTATTTCCCACAAAGTCATTAATACACATTCCATTAATTGAGCAAATAAAGTTACAACAACGAAATTATTTTCACAAATAGATGATGGAGTTTCTGCAGAACATAATAAAGAAAGAAGTGACCTTCCTTCAATAGAACTAATTAAATCATAAATAAAACGAGTAGAAATAGTTAAACAAATAATAATACCAGCAATTCCCATTTGAATTGGACTTGGATGAGATTGTTCAAGATCATGAGAATTAATAAAAAAGATTCTAACTGAAACATAATATAAACCAACTAATAAAATAAAATATGTAATACCACTAAATGCAAACGTAGAAATAATTAAATATTTTGTTTGTTCAAATACTAACATAATATCAATTATTGATAAAGAAAGAATATGAAAGAAATTTAATAAAAGAATTATAACAATAATATTTATTTTCCAATTACTCCATTTGTAGTGATGAATTAATGAAGCATAATAATATGTTACAAAAGATAAAATTGCAACCATTACAAAACTTGGTACACTAATATTAAATAAATAATATTAAATAAATTATTTAAATAAATAAAGTAAAAATACAAACTCTGATATCATCCATTGAATTGACATTTCTATTGAATTCTCTTTTTCAAAATCAGAAAAGAGGAATAAAAAGAATGCAATCATTAAATCAACAACTCTAAAGACACACCATGATAATGCAAATAAAATAATTAAATTTTGAAACCCACAAAATCTATGGCTAAAATATTAAGTTATTCGCTTTAATTATTTTGTTAAATAACAAACTGGTTTTTGACTATTCTAATACTTTGTATTATACATAAAATTGCAATAATAAAATATTCAAATGCTATAACTAATTTTTGAAGTGGAAAATCATAATAGTCATTAATATCATTTTTACTTTGTTCACTCATAACGTGTTATATTCCTTTCACAGAACAATTTTGAATTTGTAAAGAACGTAAAATCTTCTTCCTTAACCCTATAATTAAATATTAGTTTTTTTTATTATAATTTATAAAATTTGTTTTTATTATTCAAAGAGGAATTGAAAAAATAGAAAATTCAATCTCTAAATACTTTTCGTTTTCTTTAAAAAAAAATAAAAATAAAAATTATTAAAGAACTCAAAAAAGAAAAAAATTATTAAATTTCATAAAAATAAGAAAAATGGAAAATACAAATTCAACCAATGAATTACCATACCTTCTTCATGCTAAAAGAATGTTAGAAAAAGAAAAAGAAAATGTTTGATAAAATTTTATTAAAAAAAAATATATTTTAATTATTTTAGATTGAACGAAGAAATATTATTTATCAAAATATTTGTGAAGAAATGGATGCTTTTGATGCGTTAGGTGTTGGAATAGATTGCGATTATAAACAGTTTTGTGAGTCATTGAATCTTCGGTATTATTTTTTTTAATAAAAAAAAAAACAAATAAAAATTAAATAAAAAAAATTTAATGAGCAAATTTCTTTTTAAGTTCTTCAAGCTCTTCTGGAGTATATTCATCTTGTTCATTCAAATATTCTCTCATTTCAGCTGGTAACTTTCCAACTAAATGTTTTGCAATGCAACGAGCACATGACTCAATGAGCATTGGAATTTGCATAAAAATAGCACCACGAAAAACTTGAAAAAGAACATCTTTTTCTAATTCCTCACAGAATTGAACATCCCATGGTTGAATCGATGAAATTCTACATCTATCTTCTGGTTTTTCATTATACATATGTGGATGTTCATTATGGTAATTCATCCATCTAATAATTTGTTCCATAATTTCTTTAGAGACGTTAGTAATTGGAATTGGCTCATCTGCTGATGATCTTTCTTTCATGAGACTTTGGACAAGGACAGACTGATTAGCACAAGCCTCAGTTACAGTGAAGGTAGTTTTATCACATGACTCAATAATAACGTTTTGAGCAGCCATTTAACTTATATATAATTTGTAGTTTTTATTCATCTTTAAATATAGTTTATTGAGGTTTAATTAATAATGTCATTGTAAATTTAAATGGAATTAAAAAGAAATAATAACCTTTATTAAATAAGAAGGAAAAAGTATTAAATAAGAACTAATAAAATAACAAGATCTCTCAAAAGTCTGTTATTTATTTAAACGTATTTATTTTATTAAGAATTTTTTTAATGCAGAACATAATAAAAATATTGAAATGAACAATGAATAATAACAAACTGTGTTGTAAAGAAAAACAAAAATGATGTAGAAATTTAAGGCAACACAAGAAAATGAATATTGAATGAATGCCAATAACATAAAAATTAGTTAATTAAGTATTAATAGATTTTTCATATATTCTTCCTAATTTAGGAGAGATTAATCACATCCCTGAGTTGTTTAAAAAAGAGTTATCTTTTTGTTTAACCTATCATTTAAGTTTTTGTAGGAGTATGAATAAAGCAATTCTATGTTTTATTTCTTCTTATTAAAATATTTTCAAACTTCTTTCTGCTTATTAGGAAGATAAATTAATATATTAAAAAACTCGTTATTGAAAGTTAAAATTTAAAAGCTTCAAAATGAAAGAATGTTAACTTAAGTATTACGTATTTTTGTTATATATAAGTAATGTGGTAGTGTAAATTTTCTATGACTCATTAATTTAAACAAAAGTATAGTTGAAATGTAATAGTATTTTCTGTGTTAGTGTTATTCAAAAAATTAAATCTTACTCATATAAGAATTAAAACCAATGACAAATTAATTAATAAACTCTACTCTTTTACAACTATAAAAAATATTTGCTTATTCAAGATTCAAGTTTAAAACTTAACTTTTAAAAACTAATCATTTCTTTTTTAATTAATATTGATAAAATCTTAATGGGTTTGTTGGTGAAGCAGCAATAGCTTTCATTCCAATATAAACTGCCCCAATTAAAATACCATTTAATGCCATATTTGTTAATATATTTGCTATATCAACCAATGAAATTTCTGTTACACCTAAAGATATTAATGTGTCAATAATAACCTGAAGGTGAAGTTTTGTTGTTTTCTTTGTTGTAAAGATAATTTCTAAAAGATTACGATAAACAATTAAGCGTAGTGTTTCAACTAATTCTAATATTCCAATTTGAACAAATTCTAAATCGTATTTATTAATAACTTTCTCATACAAACTAACATCACCTCTATTGACTGCATTTGATAAATCAATTAATATCTTATTTCCATACTTTTTCATTTCTTCCATTGGAAGATACATTCCACAACGTAATTTCAATGGAACAAGATACATTAAAATTTGTTTCTTAAATTTATCATTGGCAACAAGATATGCCTTTTCTAAAGCTTCTGCTGCCCCTTTGTAATTTCCTATTTTAACTGAAAGTAGTCCATAATAATATCCAAATATTCCACGGTCTCTTTCATTAATAAATAAATTATAATCTATTTTATTGAAATAAGATGATACACAGTCAATAACTTCTTTGTAATTACGTGCATGATAGAAAATACCTACAATATACCCAATAACAAGAATAATTCGTTCTTTCATTATTGAAATTGTTCTAAAGAGTGTTAGAAATAAATATTAAAATAACACCTAAATAACGTACCAAACTGAATTACTGTTTTTGTTATATCATCTATTAGATAAAAATCTTTTTGGCTATATGCTTGTCGTGTTTGTTTTACAAGTAATTTAATAATATTTCTAATATCAGAAATAACATTTTTATCGTTAATGTCTTGATTTAAACAAATTTTTAAGTCATCTAAAAGTTGTTGTGCCATGATGAGACTTTATTGGATTTAAGTTTAAGTTTTTTTTTAAGTTCTTTTTCATTATTTATTCAACAATAAAACTATTTTCAAAAGAAATATTCCATACCAATTTAAACAAAAAATTAGATATGACATTTGGTTAATTATGATAGAATAAAAAGTATTTGTTTTTGCTGAAGCATTAACTTTCTAAAAGTGAATTAAAAAATCAATAAATACTTTTAATTTCCACCTGTTTTTAATCTTTATAATTATTCTAATAAGAAACAAAAAAGGATGAATTGCAAATAGTTATATAATACTGTTTATTAAGAAATTCTAAAAAGACACTTTTAAGACTGAAACTATTTATCAATTATAAGGGTTTACATAATATCCTTTTAAGGTGAATGTAATATAATATCCATAAACTTTCTTTTTATTCCAGTGTATTTTTATATATTACTTTACTTCTCTTATAAATAAAATAGGTTATTTCATTAGTACTTTAACATTGTTATTATTAGACAAACAAATCATTCAATTTAATTATCTTATTTTATTAATAACCTTGTTCATCATAAAATTGTTCTTCCCATTGTTCTTCCTCTCTTTTTAATTCTGGAAAATCATTAATTGTCATTCCCCATGAATAATCATAGTAATTAACTCTTCTCCATATTGGATATGTTCTTTTTCTTCCTTTAATATTTTGATATCGTAATACTCTTCTTCCACTTTGGTATTGATCAACAAAAGTTTCTTCAGTTTTACCTTGTACAACAATTATTTTTTCATTTCTTTTATCATTTTCTATATCAAAGAACTCTTCTCCTGGCTCAGAACTTGCTTTAATAATATTTAACAATTGTTGGTATTTTGGCTGATTTTCTTCTGTAATTATTTTAACCTTTTTTTCTTTACGCCCTTTTTGTGTGTGTTTTTCTTTCTGAGTTTGTGAAGGATTATATGGTGAAAATGTTGACTTTAATTTACTTGTAGAAGTATCTTCTTGTGTTTTAAATTTCTTTTCACTTTCTGCCTTTGAACTTTTTCTTCCTTTTTTTTCTTTAGGTTCACTTATCTCTTGAGTAGTAGTTTTTTTCCATTTATCAATAGGTTTTTCTTCCCACTCTGGTGTACTTTTAACTGGCTGACTTCCTACAATATCAGAAATGCCTGATAACCCATTGTTATTTTCATTACCTTCTTTTAATTTTATCTCATCTTTTACAGGTTTTTCTTTATCAATCTCATTTGTCATTTTTTCTTTGATCTTCTTCTCTTTCTTTCCTAACACTTCATTTTTAATTTCTTTCATTGCCTTACTAATAGTTTTCTTTTCTTCTGGTTCATCTTTCTTAAGTAGACTCTTTCTCATTTGTTTTGTACCACTTAGTCCTTTCTTTGTTTTATTTTCATTATCTTTCATTAACTCTTTTTCTCTTTCAAGAATTCCTTTCTTTTTTCCTTTCTCTTTATTGTCTTCTTTTAATTTTGGTTTTTTTTCTTTTTCTTTATCAATTTCTTTAGAAAGTTCCTTAACAATTTCTTCTTGTTCATCTTCAGGTAATGGCATAGCAACAAGATCTTCTGCACCAGCTACATCATCAATTTGAGAAGAGAGAAGATTGTCTAATTGATTTAAACTTTTTCTCATTGCCTCTTTGTCTACAATCTCTTCCATTTTTTTTTCCCCACTTTGGTTTGTAGAATTTTTTAATAATTGACTTGAATTAAGTGAACCAAGACTTGGGACTTTTTGGCTCATTTGTAGTGTAATTTTATTTTTTGTTTCTTGTTCAATTTCTTCTTTCTTTACACTAATTGCACTCACCTTTTTATCTAAAATATTAATAGTATCTTTTATTTCTTGAATAATTTTCTTTCGTTCTTGATTTTTTGATTCTTTTTCTTTCACTCTTTTTTCTCTAATTGTTTCTCCATCTTTTATATCTTTACCTTCTTGCCCTAATACTTCACTAGTTTCTTCCATTTTAACTACCTTTTTTGGTTCTTCTTTTTTCTTTCCTTTTGTTAAAGCAGCGAGACTTTCAACTACTTCAAGACTTGCTGCTGAACTCTCTTCATATTTGACTGGAACAGCTTCATCTTTTTCAATAATTTTTTTTGGTTCTTCATTTTGTTTAAGTTCATCTGAACTCGTGTATT